CCGGGCCGCGGCTGGGCCGTGAGCCAGTGACCCACAGGATGAGGCTTGGGTCTGCGGCGTGCACTGCGGTGAGGCCACCGGTGTCTGGTCCCAGCGTCTGAGCACGCTCACTCGCACACATGTCCGTTCACACGCCCGCGCACACGCACGCCCACATACAGTGCTCGCGCACACGCACACGCCCGCCCGCATACATGTGTGCCCGCGAACACGCACGCCCACATAGTGTACTCACGCACACGCACACCCGCATACACGTGTGCCCGCGCACACGCCCACATACATGTGTGCCCACGCACACGCACGCCCACATAGTGTACTCACACGCACACCCGCATACACGTGTGCTCGCGCACACGCCCACATACATGTGTGCCCGTGAACACGCACGCCCACATAGTGTGCTCACGCACACGCACATACGTGTGCCCATGCACACACACGCCCACAGTGTACTCACACGCACGCCCGCATACACGTGTGCTCGCGGACACGCATGCCCACATACACGTGTGCCCGCGCACACGCACGCCAACATAGTGTACTCACACACGCACATACGTGTGCCCACGCACACGCACGCCCGCATACCCGTGTGCCCGCGAACACGCACGCCCGCATACACGTGTGCTCGCACACACGCCCACATACACGTGTGCCCACGCACACACACGCCCACATAGTGTACTCACGCACACGCCCGCCCGCATACACGTGTGCCCGCGCACACGCCCACATACATGTGTGCCCGTGAACACGCACGCCCACATAGTGTGCTCGCGCACACTCACACGCACGCCCGCATACACGTGTGCCCACGCACACGCATGCGCACACATCTATACACAGACTGCACATGTGTGTGCGCTCACCCGCACACTCATATACCCACACTCACGCACGTGTGTGCACGCACACGCACGCACCCCGTGCAGCCATCCCTGGCCGTCCTCTGGGGCCGGGGTGATAACCCAGCCCAGAGGGAGCCTCTTGGGACATGGCGCCTGGAACCGGAAGCCAGCCACACTTAGGGGCTTCGTGCTTCGGAGGGAGGCCACGGTTGGGGGTGGCCCCAGGGGGGCAGGGTCCTAGGGTCCCAGTGGGCACTTCTGAGTGTGGATGCCCAGCAGGACGCCCTGACCTTCCAAGGAAAACACGCCATGGGGCCAGCCCGTTTGTTCTCCGTGTGCATCTATATTTAGCGCTGAGTAATTTAGGTATTTGTAAGCCCAGCCAAGGGCAGTTTTCCCTGAGTTGGATGTTTTGTGGCTGCTTTGAAGCTCTCTACTGAATCAGAGCTCTCTGGAAACCCACACGTGGCCTCTGTGCTCCCAGAACAGACACACTCAGGCCTCTTCTGACCCAAAAGGGGGCTGGATGTCTGCCGGAAGGGACAGGGAGCCAGGCCGGTGGAATGATCTTTTTTCTGAGACTTTTATGGAGGTCACTTTAGAGTCGCATGCAGTTAAAACAAATCAGAGAGAAAGTCCATGTATCATTCGATCTGTTTCCCCAACGGTAGCATTTTGTGGGAGTATGGCCAATATCACACACCGGATGTCAACATGGATACTGTCCACCTACCTTATTCTGTTGCTGCCGTCTTGCCTGTGTGTGTGTGTGTGTGTGATTCTGTGCAAGGTTATCGCACGTGCAGGGGCGTGAACCCACTGCCCCCTCAAGGTAGTCCACATTTCCAGCGCCACAAGGAGCCCCCTCCTGCCCAGGCCTACCCGCCTCCACCCCCAGAATCGTGAATCTATCCTCCATCCCAACAATTCTCTCATCTCAAAGATGTTCTATGAATGGAACCTCACGTCTTGTAACCTTTGGGGATTGGCTTTTTTCACTCAACGTAACTGCCTGGAGATCCACCCGAGGTGTTGGGTGTATCAGCGGTCCATTTTTATTATTATTATTATTATTGCTAAGTAGAAAATGTTTTGAAAATCTGAAATCTGGGGCACCTGGCGGGCTCAGTCGGAAGAGCGTGTGACTCTTGATCTTGGGGTCATGAGTTCGAGCCCCACGCTGGGTGTAGAGATCACTTAAATAAATAAAACTGAAAGAAAGGAAAGAAGGAGGGAGGGAGGAATGGAGAGAGGAGAAAGGGAGGGAGGAAGGAAGGAGAAAGGAAGGGAGGGAGGAAGGAAGGAGAAAGGAAAGGAGGGAGGAAGGAAGGAAGGAAGGAAGGGGAAAGGAAGGGAGGGATGGAGGGAGGAAGGAAGGAGAAAGGAAGGGAGGGAGGGAGGAGAAAGGAAGGGAGGGAGAGAGGAAGGAAGGAAGGAAGGAAGGGGAAAGGAAGGGAGGGACGGAGGGAGGAAGGAAGGAGAAAGGAAGGGAGGGAGGGAGGAAGGAAGGAAGGGGAAAGGAAGGGAGGGACGGAGGGAGGAAGGAAGGAGAAAGGAAGGGAGGGAGGGAGGGAGGAAGGCAGGCAGGCAGGCAGGCAGGCTAAAACCTGCCTTTACTCGTGCGCAGCTCCCTGGGTCTGGTGACCCCCGAGCGGACAGTGCTACTGCATCGTGACAAGGCGCAGCGTGCTGCTCGTCACCCGGCCAAGCATCTTCCCAGACTCCTGACCTTGGGCTCTGTGTCGGCACGGACGCCCGTACGGGTCCTCCTGGGGGCTTCCTCAGCCTGGACGCTGGAGACACCGGGGCGGGTCGTCCTCTGGGGGGTCCCGGGCACGGTGGGGGCTGAGCAGCATCCTGGCCCCCACCCCTCGGTACCGGCGACCCCAGATGCCCCAGACACGGCCTGGCGTCCTTGGGGGACGCGATCAGCCGTTAGAACCGCTGTGCTCCCTAAATGAAGGCTGGGGGGGGAAGTAGGATTTTCACGGCCTTCAGGAACAGGAAAAACCGTGCCCAGCTGAATCGTAAAAGCACGTTAACACCACTCGTACGCTGCTGGTGTGAATGTAAGCGGTGCCGCCGCCCTGGAAAGCAGCTTGGCATCGTCTCTGAGAATTGAACACGCAGTTACGTCCTTGGCGTTGAGCTCAGAGAAAGAAAGCCCCGTGTTTGCGCGAGTCTGCACCCGACCGGTGGCTGTGTCCGTGACGGCCAAGAACGGGAATCCGGCCAGATTCGCCTTCCGCGGGGGACCGCCGCTCGGCGGGGAGCTAGCCATGCACGGCAGCCTGGTGCGTCCCCGGAGGACCAGGCCCCGTGGGGGGAGCCAGCCCGTAACGGTTACGGCCACACGGTTCGCTTACACCAGTCCTGAAATGACAGAAGTTTGGAGAAGGAAACCACATCGGGGGTCGCCGGGGCTGAGGGCGGGTTGGGGCAGGAGAGACGCCCCATGTCCTCTGTGCCTGTTGGGGGCCTCCCAGCTGCGGTTTTGCAAGACGTCTTCGTGGGGAAACCGGGCAAGGGGCTCACAGGCTCTGTCATTTCCTACAACTGCATGTGAATCCACAGGCATCTCAAAATTTTATAGTTATTAAAAAATAAATCAATAAAAATATGTGGGAAAGAAAACAGGTCACCGTCAAACACTAGCAAAGCCAGGATCGTTGGTGCGGTAAAGGATTGGTCTTCTCGTTGGGCGAGCAGGTGGGGAGGCCCTCTGACCCACCCTGAACCGCTAAGGCGTGACCCCCACTTCCTGAAGGTGTGGGGGGCGCGAGCGGACCGCTGGGTGCTATCTGGTCATCAAAGCAGCAAGTACCCCCCCACCCCCCACCGAGCAGCAGTCCTCGGAGAATCCGCGGAAAGGCTACTCGGGGTTCAGGAAGAGGGTTTATCTGCAATCATTTACCCGCCCTGAGTGGGTTACTCGGGGCACCCCACCCACACTCAAGGAAAGCGTAGCAGGGTGAATAGTGTCCCCCTCAAATTCATGTCCACCAGAACCTCGGAATGGGACCTTAACTGGAAATAGGGTCTTTACAGATGCAAGTCGTTAGGAAGAGGTGGTCGTGGATGAGGGTGTCCTTATAAGAAGGCCCTGTGAGGACCAGGCAGAGGTCGAGTGATGTGGCCACACCAGCCGCTGGAGGAGGCAGGAAGGACCCTCCTTGGGCCCTCACAGGGGGAGCCCGGCCCTGCCCACCCCTGGATCTCAGACCGCTGACCTCCAGAATGTGGGAGAACAAATTCCTGCTGTGTTCAGCACCCTAGTCTGTGGTCATCTGTCCCGGCCGCTCCGGCACATCAGAAAGCTCTGGAAAACCCTGCAAAACCAAGTGGGCTCCCTTTTCCGACGGGTGACATAAATCCCCCTCCCACCCCCAGAAGCCTCTCCCATGCCAGAAGCAAGAGCCAGCACTCCTGCCCGGGCAGCCTACTGTGGGGGCCCAGGTCACGGCCGGGCCTGCGGCGGGAAGTCGGAGGCAGGCACCCACGCAGACAGGAACCACGGGCTCCCCCTGCGCTCAGCCGTGCTTAGCGGGGTGTTCTCAGGGCAGTGCTGGCACGTGGTGGGCCACCCTCCGGGGCAAATGAGCACACGGACGAGGGAGGGAGGCCGGACCCACGACCCACAGCACACAGGTGCCTCCCGGGTGACCTGCCGAGGTCCAGAGCCAGGGTCCCACCCGGCGGACTCTGCCCCAGGGCACTCGGGCCATGTCTGGACACATCTGTGGCCGTCACAACTGGGACATCCTGGCATCGAAGAGTGGGGGCCAGGGATGTGCCCAGGACGCCCCCAGACAGTGAGCCTGCCCAGGGTCAGTGGTGCTGGGGGCACGGAGCAGGGCAGGGATCAGAGAAAGTGCCCCATGAGTCCCTCATTCTGAGTCATCACCGTGTCGACACTGTGGTTTGGTGAACTGTCCTGAAAGGCTTGGTGGTCACATCTGGGGAGCACTTACCCCCCACCAGCACCGGGGGGACCATGGGAGGCGGCTCGGCTGGGCCTCCCACCGCCCCCACCTCGACCCCAGGCACATGGGTACCGGGGCTCAGGTGGAGGCTTCTGGGGGGGCCGTCCTCCGGCTGCAGGCCTGGGGCTCCGCGAGCCAGCTCACGTCCTTCTGCTTCCCCCCACAGCTCTCTGGACAACGGGGCCCAGAGCTGATGGCAGACAATGTCAACCACTAACAACATAGCCCAGGCCCGGAAGCTGGTGGAGCAGCTCCGCATCGAAGCTGGCATCGAGCGCATCAAGGTGAGCCGGGAGGCTGGCCGAGTAGGGAGGAGGCCCCTTGCCCAGGGAGGGGGTGGGCCTGCCCCATAGCAGGGCTGCATTCCAGCTGTGCCCCTCGCTGTGCGACCTTGGGCCACTCCCTAACCTCTCTGAGCCTCCGTTGCCTCAACGGAGAGACCCGGCTGGTACAAAACCTATCGTGGGCTATTGTGACCACCCGCGTGCCCCAGCTTTGTCACTGCGATGGGAACAGAGGCGGGCCGAGCCCACCCCCAGCCCTCGGGGTCCTCCCGCTGCTCAGCCGGGCTCCGTCTGGCCCCTGGACCGGTGCAGACAGAAGTTAGAGACGTGGCCCAGAGAAGGGAGGACCCAGGGCTCCCTGCCGGCTACTTTCTTCACTTCTGCATTGTTTGGATTTTTTTTAAATAAGTGTGTTTGCTTTTTATGCTAAAAAAAGAAAAAGGACAAGCCGTTCCAGCTCACGGACAGTTAACCCATCAGGGACCAGAGACCCAAAACAGAGCTAGTGGCTTGCTGGGCCATCAGCTCTACAGACTCGGTCTTCCTAGAAAGGGCCGGTGGCCCAGTTGTGGCCTCCCTTGTGAGGAAGGTATGAACACCTTTGCATCACACCCGTGTTCACCTGGCAAAGGACGTCGAGGCGCCTCCAGCCGGTGGTCTCCCTCCACGGGCCCCAGCCAGCCGGCGGCCAGGAGTCTCCCTAGAGAAGACCTGGGAGGTTTCCACGTCTGCCCTGGCCCCGCTCCGGCTGCCCCGGGACCAGTCAGGGCTCCACAGAAAAGCAGAGCCGGGAGGACGTGTGTAGAAAGAGCCAGAGGTATTTTAAGGAACTGGCTCACAGGCCATGGGGGCTGACAAGTCCGAAATCCACAGGGCAGACTGGAAACCCAGGCCAGGGTTGACACTGCAGCTCGAGTCCCCAAGGCCCCCTGGAGGCAGACTTCCTCTCCTCTGAAGGCCTTCAACTGATGGCCTGTGGCCCACCCACATTTAGAGGGTCGTCTCTCTGCTCCACGTCAACCCATTTAAATGTAAATCTCATATAAGAATGACCTTCCCAGTGACATCTAGACTGGTGTTTGGCCAAATATTTGGGCACCATGACCTGGCCAAGTGGACACATAAAATCAAACACCAGCCTCATGGAGTTGTTCAGACCGATCTTCTGAGCACCTGCCACTCCACGGTCCCTGCTGGGCGCGGGAATTCACCAGCAGGGGCGGCCCAGCCCCCGGACAGACTGACACCTGACTGACAGCCCCGCAGTGGACAGAGTGGGAAGCAGTGTGTCTCCAGCCCAGCGGGCGGGTAGGAGGGCTCCTGCAGCCCCCCAGGTGGGGGGAGGGGGGGGGCCGGCTCCCGCGAGGTGTCTGAATGTTCCAGAACCCCTAGCATTCAAAGCATTCCTTTGGGCTGAAGAAAGAGAAAGACTTGAAGGCCTCAGTTGACGTGGTTTGACTTTAGGGAGCCGGTTTGGCCCCAGCCCCGGCGGAGAGCGTGATTCATCCTGGCCCCCGTTTGATGTGCTGGAGGAGTCCTGCCACCCCTTTGAACGTCGTAGGGAGGAGGGGAGCGGGACGGGACCCACCCTCCCCACTCCAGTCCCGCCTGAGGCTTTTTGTCCCCAAGCCGACCACCAGAACCACAAACATCGGCACATCTGAAAAGCCAGTGGGGCCAGGGCCTGGCAAGCAGCAGGCCTCTGGGCAGAGCCCTCCTGTTGACACGGGGGGCATGAGCGGGGGTCCACACGCCCGAGCCACCGCGTCAGTTATTTCCAGGGTCCGGAGGCTATTTTTGTTGTTTTGGAGGGTTGCTTTCCAAATACAACTCTAGAAACCAAGCGGCACGGACTCAGCCAGCACGGCCCTGGGAGCGGCCAAGTGCTCAGGACAGTGGAAGTTGTCAGTGTCATGGGTAGGAGTGTCCCCAGGATGAACCCAGAGGCCAGCCTGCAGACTGGGCAGCACTGGGACAAGGTCAGGCGGCCTTGGCTGTCAGGGGTGCAGGGCCGCAGACCACAGAGCCCAGGGGGAGTTCTCACCCCTGCCTGTCCTACCCTCTCGCGCCCACTCGGCTGCTCCTCTGATCACCTCGCAGGTGGGGAAGCAGGGAGCCGAGCTCCTCTGACAGTTCCTGCCACAGGGAGGAGACCCAGGGGCCCCTTCACCCAGGCCCAGGACCCCTGAACCCCAGTGCCTAGCCCCCAGCCCGGCCCCGGGGGAGCGGAGTGAGATGGTGCCCACCACACCCCCAGATGCGCACTCTGAGGGTGGGGTGCAGGGCTGGGCCGTGCCCCTGCTGTGATGAAGCACCCCCTCTGCCCCCCGTGAGCTTTCCCAGGGGCTGAGTGGCTCCTCCCTGCATCTCCCCCTCCTCTTCTGGGGACCCTGATGCAGGTAGCCCCAGGTGTCCGCCCCCTCGCCCAGGTCACTGGCCCCGGCCGGCTCAGGGGCCCAGCGAAGAAATGCACAGGAGCTTGTGTGGGGCCCCTCCGACGTTCAGACGGTTCTTCCTGTGCCCTCCTATCTTGGGTGGAAATGGAGTCTTGGTCTGAATCCTAAAGAGGGCCCCATCTCTCCCTTTTGTCTAAAACCTGGGCAACTCCTGCTGAAGGAGACTCAGTCCCTTCTTTAACCTTCTTTAAATTGTGGTAAAACACACCTAACATAAAACTTAGCAGCACGATAGCACCTTGGTGTTGTGCAACCACCGCCTCTATCTGGTTCCAGAACATTCCATCAGCCTGAAAGGAACCCGTCCCCATCAGCTGTCACCTCCCCCTCCCCCCCAGCCCCCGCCCCCACGAGCCCCCTTCCCGTCCGCGGATGAGCCCGCTCTGGACGTGTCACCCCCGTGGACTCACACCCCACGTGGCCTTCCGTGTCCGGGTCCCTCCCTGAGCGTCCCCGCCCCCATCAACGGTCACTCCCCACCTTCCCCACCCCGGCCCCCCGAGCCCCCTTCCCGTCCGCGGATGAGCCTGTTCTGGGCGTGTCACCCACGTGGCCTCACACCCCGCGTGGCCTTCCGTGTCCGGGTCCCTCCCTGAGCGTCCCCGTCCCCATCAGCTGTCACTCCCCAGCCCCCGCCCCCACGAGCCCCTTCCCGTCCGCGGATGAGCCTGCTCTGGACGTGTCACCCCCGTGGACTCACACCCCACGTGGCCTCCTGTGTCTGGTTCCCTCCCTGAGCGTCGTGGGCTCGGGGTCCGTCCCCGGGGCCGCGCGTGTGGGCGCCTGGCTCCTGTTCGCGGCCGATCACGTTCCCGGGGACACATCGGGTGTATCCATCCCGGTGGGTGGACATGGGGTTGTTCCCGCCTTGGCTGCAGTGGACATGCCCGTGGCAGCCTGTCTGACCTCTCCCCTCTCGTCCTTGTGCCCGCACACAGGTGTCCAAAGCCTCGTCGGAACTCATGAGCTACTGCGAGCAGCACGCCCGGAACGACCCCCTGCTGGTGGGAGTCCCCGCCTCCGAGAACCCCTTTAAGGACAAGAAGCCTTGTATTATTCTGTAGCCGTGTTTTCTGTGCGTCCCTCCCTCTGTCTCCCTCAGCTAGGGCACCACTCACTACGCAGTCAAGCAAAACATCTCAAGTCCCAAACGTCCAGTTCCCAAAGAAAGGTGAACAGCCGCCACCATGGATGGGGAAAAATGTGTCCTCCGGGTTTAGGTGGATTTTCGAGCCCAACAGCAGCATCCCCTCCGGGCCCGGCTGGAAGACGCTGGGGGCGCCGCACCGCTTCCCATCAGGAATGGCAGAAATGCCCAAGTGATGCGCTCACGGCTTCCGGAAGCTCTCGGCTGCCGTCGGGGTAGCGGGCCAGAGCCGGCCGGGCCGGGCCAAGGGAAGGCGGCGGGGGACGTGGCCGCTGCCCCGGGCGCCCGGGCGGGTGGCGAGCCTCGCACCGTTGGCCGTCTGGGAAGACTGGGGCCGGGCCCATGCTGCCGTGCGTTTACTGTTTCTTCTCTCCTGAGCCGACTAGAACTGGGGGGTGCGGGGAGGGCCCAGCGGACCCTTTCGGAAACATGTCTCCTCCTCGCTTAAGCCACCGTTACTCCACACGGCGGAGCCCAGAGCTCCGTGGCTGAGCGCACAGCTGCGCGTCCTGTGGAATGCGCCCGCGGCTGGGAGGGGCCGGGAGGGGCCTCTGCCTGGGCAGCGCGGCCCGCGTGGCCACGTGTCGCCCTGCGGCGTGGCCCCTGCCCTTCCCCGGGAGCCCACCCCTGACGGAGGCGGGTTCCCAGCAGCCTGCCCTGCCCGCGGACACGGCCAGCTGGGTGCCGGCCTGGCGGGAGCGCGAGCGGCCGTGTGGGTGGTTCGGCGCTGTGGTCACACTGAGCTCTTCTGGGCGGTTGTGTGGCGTCTTGTTTTCCACTTTTGCGCGTCGCCGTGGCCGTTTTGCAAGCAGGAGTGCGGCCTGCCGAGGCCCCGGCCTCGCGGGTCAGAAGGCGTCAAGTTCCCGGAAGCAGCTGCGGGGCCCCCGCGGTGAGAGGCCTAACCGGCTCGCGCTTCCCTCCCGTGGCTTTTCTTTAATCACTTGGCCCCTGTGACGACCTGCACAGTGAAAGGGGCAGGAGGTGGAGGGGGGCCCCGCCCCTGCCCTGCGCCCCTGCCTTGCACCCCTGCGTCCTCCACCAGGAGGGTCCTCATCTTACAGCCCAGGCCGGGGCCTCGTGCCAACCCCCCTGCCCCGAGATCTTGCGAGTGCCAAGGCCCAGATCCCACCAGCGCTAAGGTTTGGGGGTGGGGGGAATGCGTCCCCCTGCAGCAGGTGACGTCCCCATGTGGCTGGCTCCCCCAGGGCGCAGGCTGCACGGTCCAGCCTTGCTCCCCGGCTCCCAGCTCTCTCCGGCCGGTCCGGGAGCACCAGGGGCTTTGGGGAGCCCAGCTTCTCCAAACCTGCGGTTGGACGGGGGAGCCACGAAGGCCCGATGCCCTGGCCACCTTTCACTGGGCGGGAACCAGCCTCTCACTGTCCCCAGCCGAACAGCAAGACAGACCAAAAGCTGTTTGCAGGGGGGAGGCCAGGGCACGGTGGGATCCGCCCCAAGACTCGGGAGGCTGTTGGCAGAGCAAAGCCTGTCCGGGCCACTTCTGCAAAGAAGCCTTAATCCCTGGAGCCCGTCCTTCCCCCTGCGTCCCCACCACCCCGGGCTGGTCCTCGGGCCGCGGGTCCCCAGCGAGGACGGGAGGCCCTGGTCTCGGTCCCCCCCTGCCCTGCCGGCTGTGCCACGCCCAGCCCCACCGTCTGTCCCCACCCCCGCCACCCAGGAGCCCGGCTCAGGGCAGTGCGGTTCGACCGCCTTGGGCAGCCCCACGGCCCACTCTGGGCTCAGCCGGCGGTGCCCCCCCACCAAGCCCTGAAGTGAACTCGAACTCAAGTCAGAGCCCCCGGGGCCGAGGGGTGTGGGTAAACTAGGCTCAGAGAGGGTGAGGATGGGCGCGCCCCCCCCAAAGCCACACCTGCCCGCTGCCTCCCCCAGGGCCGCCAGGGCCCTCGACCCCGGGGGGCGGCCGTCAGCAGAAGCCCCACCATGGGTGTCTTTCTAGCTGAGGAAGAAATGCTCCTCTTTTCCTTCTAGAGTAAGTGTCGTGTCCGTAGTGTAGACCCGTGCTTTCCCTGCGCGCGTCCCGCATGAAAACCTTGTGTGCACGGCGTGTGCAGGAGCTGATGGAGACGGCAGAGCGGGCCTGGGGGAGACCCGCGTCTCTCGGCCACCTCAGGGCGGGGGACGTGAAGGGCACCGCCCCCAAAACACAGAGTCTGGGTGTCCCCAGGGGGCTGGCGGCTGGGGCGCCTCCCCTCCCCTCCCCCACTCCAGGCCAAGAATTAAGTGACTCGGGGGGGGGTGACCTCTGGCCTGGGGGATGTGAACCGCGGGCGGCGGAAGGTGCTTCCCTTCTTCCTGTGACTCCGGCCACTGTGCCCGGGCGCTGGGCCTCCAAGCAGCTCATCCATCTCTGCGCAGCCAGGGCCCCACCGAGCTCCCAGGGCAGGAAAGGCCGTCCGCCTGCCCCGAGGGCAAGGGACCAAGGGGCAGTTTCCGGGCCAAGGTGAGGCCACCAAAGGTCGCTCTGGTCCTCCAAGAACACTTACAAAAAGCCAGCCTGCCGCGGAGTCTCCAGAAAAGCCATAAGTCGGACACTCCGCCCTCTTCCTTCTCTGTCCATGGAAACCATTGCCAAACGTTGCAAAGACCCGCTCCGGTTCACAGAAGCCAGCCGTGGTCCTAGCAGGTTCTACCCCATCTCTGTTTGGATGTTCAGTGGCTTTTATTTCTGGTTTAAGAAAAAAAAAAAAAAAAAAATCCAGGTGTGCCACACCCACTTTCTTGCAGTGTTTTAATATTGTGTGGAATTGTTAATACAGAGTGACTAATCCCCGCACAAAGGCTCCCTGGTCCTCTCTCTGTGCCCACCGCCTGCAGGGGGTGGGGTCGGGTGGGAAGGTGGGCCTGGCGCCGGGGGTGACGGGCTGCCCCCCACGCACGTGCACGCGCCCCTTGCTGCTGGGAGGGGGCTCCACAGATGGAACGTGGCTTCGGGCAGCCCCACAAAGCGGCCCTCAGCTTCTGCGGGCTTTCCAGTTTGCAGTTAGAAAACCTCCGGGAGGGGAGCCTGGATGGTTCAGTTGGTTAAGCGTCTGCCTTTGGCTCAGGTCATGATCCCGGGGTCCTGGGATGGAGCCCCGAGTCAGCTCCTCGCTCAGCAGGGAGTCTGCTTCTCCCTCTGCCTCTGCCCCTCCCCCTGCTTGTGCTCGCTCGCTCTCTCAAATAAATTAAAAAAGAAAACTTCGGGCTGCGCTGTGTGAGGGTCAGCGCGCCTAAGCCCCGTGCCCCACGGTTCGGGATTGCCTCCGTCTGGCATGGCCCGCGGGAAAGTGCCCAGCTCTCAGGGCTTGGAGCGCCTGGGGCCTGGTGCCCCCTGCCGTCCAGCCATCCAGGGGCCACGCTCGGCCACCAGAAACCCCAGGGGAGACGCTGAGTGAGTCATGGTCCCGACTCAGACCAGACTGTGGAGAGAGTTCAACTTTAATAACAAATCTGTCCATGAGAGATTCTGACCTCCCAGCAGCGAACTTTGTGTAAAGCATTTATAGATTCAGCTACATGAAAATTATCCTCTTTTTGTCAAAAACCGTAAGATCAGAAGTGAGTTCAAAAGCGCAGACATAGAATTACCACCTGATGCAGCAGCAGCCCCACGGCTGGGTGTGCACGCTGCAGAGCAGAAAGCAGGGGTGGAACACACCCGCGTGTGCTCACAGCTGCACGATTCACAGCACCCAGAAGGGTCCACTAGCAGAGGAGGGGTACACGGCACGGTATGTCCCCACGCAGGAACACACTCCAGCCTCAGGAAGGAAGGGACCCCGGCACCTGCCATGACGTGGAGGGACCCCGAGGACACTGGGCTCAGCGAGAGGAGCCAGACCCAGAGGGACACATCCCGCAGGACCCCACTCCCAGGAGGTCCCCAGAGGAGTCCCGTCCACACAGACAGAGAGGAGAGGGTGGGAGCCGGGGCTGGGGCAGGGGGTGGGGAGTCCGTGCTTCGTGGGGACAGAGTCTCCGTGTGGGGAGATGGAACGTTCTGGAGACGGAGGGTGGGGGTGGGGAGTCCGTGCTTCGCGGGGACAGAGTCTCTGTGTGGGGAGATGGAACGTTCTGGAGACGGAGGGTGGGGTGGGGAGTCCGTGCTTCGCGGGGACAGAGTCTCCGTGTGGGGAGATGGAACGTTCTGGAGACGGAGGGTGGGGGTGGGGAGTCCGTGCTTCGTGGGGACAGAGTCTCCGTGTGGGGAGATGGAACGTTCTGGAGACGGAGGGTGGGGGTGGGGAGTCCGTGCTTCGTGGGGACAGAGTCTCCGTGTGGGGAGATGGAACATTCTGGAGACGGAGAGTGGGGGTGGTCGCAGGACAGGGTGAGTGTGCTTCATGCCGCTGAGCTGTGTGCTTAGAGACGGTTATGATGGTGAATTTCATGTGCATTTTATGAATTGTGCATTGTGCATTTTAGCACAAAAAGAAAAATACACACACCCGAGCGGCTGGAAGGTAAGGCAGGCATTGCCAAGGATGCGGAGCGGCCTGGCCCCTCAGAGCGGCTGCTGACCGTGACAGGCTAGGGCCACCCCGGGGAGAGGCCTGGCGGCTCTGCTCCTTCACCGCAGAGGGATCAAACCCGCGTCCACAAAAGCTCTCGGGAGGAATGTTCAGAGCAGCTTTTCTCATAATACCCAAAACCTGGAAGCATCCAGGTGCTCACCAACAGGTGGCTGGGTAAGCACACGGGATCCATTCGAGAGGGACTCCCGCTCAGCAGGTAAGGGCTCCGCTGCCCGCCCCCCGCCCCCAGTGCAGTGGCCTGGAGGACTCTCCGTGAGCCCCAAGCACCCAAGGGGCTGGCGGCTTGCTTCCCCGGACACGACGTCATCCATTGGGCAGGTCTGGGCACAGGCTGTGCGGTCAGGAGTGTGACCCCCAAGGACGTCCACACCCTCCTCCCCAGAGCCTGTGGCTGCGTCCCCTCACGTGGAGTCAGGAATCTCGCAGGGGACGTAGAGTTAAATACCTGCAGATGGGGGGGCGGCCGGACTCCCGGGGGGGCCCAGTGGCCTCAGAGCCCTCAAGAGCCGCGCCCCTGAAGCCGCGAGGGGCAGGAATTAGGTGGCAGAGGCCAGTGTGAGAAGGCTGCGCGCGGGGATCCCAGGCCTGGGACGTTCTGGAAGAGGCACCCCAGGAGACCGCGAACAGATCAGGGGGCCGGGGAAGGGTGGAAGGACGAGGGGCTGAGCACACGGAGACTTGAGGGCAGTGACGCGGCCCCGCAGGATGCAGTCCTGGTGGATAAATGACAGCATATATTTGGCAAAACCCACACCGTGCTTGCCCCCAGAGCCAAGCGGGGCGCCAAGCGGGGGCTGCGCCCGACGCAGAGCTGGCGTGGCCGGGAGGCAGGGGTGCCCCCGAGTCAGGCACACTTTGTCTCCCCAGTCCGGAGGCCCAGCGGGCATTGCGCTCCCAAAAAGGTGGAAGGAGGGCAAGACACCACACCCGAGCCCCCACCGAGGGCGCAGACCCCACGCCACGAGCGCCTGGTATTCACTGAGGCGGGCGGCCCCCCCCCCCCGACCCTGAGGGCCTGCAAACACCCCTAGGTCTCGGTGGGGCGGGTAGGGGAGAGTGGAGTAAGGCAGTTCTTGAGGAAGAAGCCACGCGTTCTGACCCGCGAGCGCTGGGAGGATGGGCGGCTCCCCCGCGCGCACCGGAGGGGTCCCCTGCACCCGCCAGCACGGGCACCCCAGGGCCCTTCCCGTTTCCCGGGCCTCAGGCTTGCACACTCCCACCCAGGGGCCCCTGGTTCCCAGAGAGAGTGGGTGCCGCAGCTTTGGGGGGCTGCTGGGGCGAAGCGCCAGGAACCGGGTGGCTCGAAGCCATAGGATTTATGCTGTCGCTCTCGGGAGGCTCCCGGGGAGGACCCTCCCCGCCTCCTGCAGC